AACCTATCCCATTTAAAATGTAAATGAGGTGGAAAATGTTTCTTCAGAAATAACTCTATTTGATTTTCAAATGCAAAAGGGAAAGACTTGGTTGACACAAGCTGAACTCTGCATATGACTTTGGATTCTGGTGGAAAATGATGAGCTGTTTCCATGACCAAAAAGGGAAAATCAGCACAAAATACCTCACAGAAAATTTCCATGTCCGAACGAAATTTGCTTGGACTGTGAAGATTTGAATGAGTCTTGTCAACATTTTTATTTTTTTGTTTGGTGCCATTTGCATTGAGACGCAAGTAGTTCAAACTCCAAAGAGTGTGGTGGAGTTCAGTCTTAACCCATTCCCTCTGCATTTCTGCTATATTTTAAGAAAATACAGATATGGATAAGAGTAGTGAAGAACTGGATTTGGAAAAGGACTATCTGGAGGAAATGGAGGCTATAGAAGCTCTGGAAGCCATGGGAACGCTAGAATCTGCTCCGCCGTATCCTGGCCATGCAGGAGATTATGGAGGAATAAACCTGGGCCACAACTTGGCTTATATCTCGTCTCCATATCCCAACGTTAACATGGGGTACACCTCATTCCCAGAGCCCGGAGGTAACACACACTTTCAGGGAGGTACGTTTCTTTCTTCTTTTTTGTTTTGTTTTACAGTTAAACAGAATATTGTTAAGAGTAGAAACTATCTTTACTTCCAAATTGACAGTGAAACATCTTTTTTAGTAGAGGACCATAATCCTTAAAGGGATAGTTCACCCAAAAATTTTTAGCAGTCCTTAAATTGTTATAAACCTTTATGAGTTTCTTTCTTCTGTTGAACACAACAGAAGATACTTTCATTAAAGCTGAAAACCTGCAACCATTCACTTCCATAGTAGGAAAAATAAATAGGGAAGTCAATGGTTACAGGTTTTTCGATCCTCAAAATATCTTCTTTTGTGTTCAACAGAAGAAACTCAATGACTTGTAACAAGTAAAGAGTTGAGTAAATTATGACAACATTTAATTTTTGGGTGAATCCCTTTAAGTAGGAAGAAAAAAATTGTTTCTAGTAAAACTAATTATTTGTTCATTTCATTTTCTTGTTGGCTTAATCCCTTTATTAATCCGGGGTCGCCACAGCGGAATGAACTGCCAACTTATCCAGCAAATCTTTTCGCAGCGGATGCCCTTCCAACCGCAACCCATCTTTGGGAAACATCCACACACACATTTACACACACACACTCATACACTACGGACAATTGAGCCTACCCAATTCACCTGTACCGCATGTCTTTGGACTATGGGGGAAACCGGAGCACCCGGAGGAAACCCACGCGAAGGCAGGGAGAACATGCAAACTTCACACAGAAACGCCAACTGAGCCGAGGTTTGAACCTCAGCGACCTTCTTGTTGTGAGGCGACAGCACTACCTACTGCACCACTGCCTCGCCCAATTATTTGTTGCGTTTACATTTTTTTCATTTGTCTGGTAAATGATGCTTAAAATAACTACACTTTGGTAAATCATTCTGTATGTGCCAAACATGACAATGAATTTCTACAATTAAGATAATTTAAGTCTTCATGAATTCAAAGGCCCCGTTTACACTGTCAGATCTTGATGCCCAATTCCGATTTGTTGCCTGTATCTGATTTGTTTGCCTGTCTGTTTACACGTTGTTTTAATTGTGACCCATATCCAATTCATGTGTTTACACTTGCCATACAAATTTACAATATGCCCATGCATAAAGGCGGGTTCTATCATCTAGCATCTGTGTGGGGGGCCGTCATCGCAGCTTGCACTTCCGGTTTATATCCTTTATGATGTCCTCCACCATTCAGAGGAATTTGTGGGTACGAGAGAAATCTCAGGTCTGGTGGGAGCAAATTGTGGCAAATGACCCCTTTCCTCCTCTGTGTTTCCTCTGATGTTGTTTACCGCATCGACATCTCCACAAACGCTCTTCTTTCTGTCATTAAACCGCGGAGAAGCACCACATTGTCGCAAGTTTAATAATGTACAGAACGAAATGCCTCAATAAATTCGATCTGCCCGTTTACATGACAGTCGCATTGTCACATATCCAATCTATCCGATCTGATTTATTTCCACATATGAAGGAGGCCTGAAACCGATCTCTGAATATCCGAATGAATGCGTTTTTTTCGTGTTTACACGGTCATAGAACAGATCCGATCTGTGTCACATATGAGCAAAAAAAAAATCGAAATTGGGTCACATCTAACCGGCAGTGTAAACGGGGCCAGAATGTACATTTATTTTGCTAGTGCACAATGTTAGTTAGGGAACAATTAATCTGTGCAAGTTAATCCACTTAAATAGTTTTTGTAATCTTTAAAGGGGTCAAACTAAACCTCAAGAGTTTTCTGTTCTACTGTTCTCTGCAGTCCACTCATAATGTACTCAAGATGTTTTTTTTTTTTACATGAAAACATCAAAAACAGAATTATTTGACTTTTTCTGTGGTGTCTTTTTACTTTTATCATAACAACACAGTTTAAATGGGCGTGGCCAATTGTAGACTTATAAACAAATGCCCACTGCTGGGATTGGCTATAACATTTGTGCAAATAAATTGGGCTGTATCCTCATGCAACCAGTTAAGTTTTCTTCAACAGTTATACAGTCATTTAAGAACGTAGGCTGCGTTCGAAATCGCATACTTCCATACTATATAGTACGCGAGCTGAGTAGCATGTCAGAATTCGAAAATCAGTATGTGAGAAGTACCTGGATACCCTACCACATCCGGTGAGATTCTGAAGTGTGCATCTGATGCACGCTGCGCTATCCTATGATGCCCCGCGAGAGAATTCATGAATAGGAGTGAAGTGATGCAACTCACAGGTGGGTTACAAGATCATGACAAAATGGCGGATGTAGTACGTCTGAGTTCTGCTCACATTCATACTGCATAGAACGTACTTTTCCTGCAGCGGAGCAGTGCATTTCAATTCAAATGCAGTACCTACTGAGTAGTAGACGATTTCTTTCTGTTAACGAGGCTACATATGATGTTAATATCATATTTTATTGCTAGTTTAAGGACAATTTCATCAATAAATCATAAGATATGATTTATTCATTCATTATTCATTCATTCTACTTCAAATACAGGTCATGTAAAAAAATAAATAAATAAATAAAAAATAAAAAAAAAAAAATATATATATATATATATATATAAATAAATAAATAAATAAAAATTTGTTCATTTTAACCTGAGGAGTGTGTGCACTAACATGTTTTTAAATGTTTTTTTCTGAAGGTCCAAACCCAGGGACATATCCTCAAACTACCAGTAAGTTACCAATTCAACCATTAACATCAGATGTAAGATTTTCCACTACCAAAGACCTGATCATTGTTTAAAAAGTGACGAAGGTAGCAGAATTGACATTGATTGACATTCTCCCTTTGTGTGCGTCAAAGGGGGAGAGCCCCGCCTTTTAGTGACAATCTCTCCCTCATTAGCATTGGTCAATAGTCCTGTTTTTGAATCTGCTACTATGCTGACACACAGGCATTAGTTGACACACAGGCATTTGTAGCTCCGCCCTCTTTTGAAAAGAGCATAATCTCATTTAAATTTAAAGTGACCTTTCACCAAAATGGCACAACTAGCACCCAAAGCCTAACGCCCCATTCACACGGGGCTTCTGGGTCAACGCCTGACTGAAGGCGTGTCTGAAGTTGGGGCTGAAGCTATCGTCACAGAAGCGTCAGCCAATGAAATTCAGTCAGAATTAGGCCACTGTCTAGCTGGTCTTTTTGCATACAGCGATCTGATTGGCTGATGCTTTCGTCGGCGCTTGAAAAGTTGAGCTAGTCCCAACTTCTTTAGCGAGCCACGCCTCTGAAGCGGCACCGACGGATCCACAATGGAGTTCGGCAACGTCTGACGTCACCCATTAAAAGTGAATGGGAAGCGTTGACGCTGACACCCTGTGTGAATAGGGTGTAAAAGGGGCAGTTTCCAAAAGTTCTAAAACATTATTTGTGGTGTATTTTGAGCTTAAACTTCACTACGCACTACACACACAGGGAAATCAGATACTTAATTCACATCTCGTAAAAACAAACGGTCAAATGCTTAGCCCTGGCCTTCCAACCAATAGTTTGCTTATACCCCTACCCCCACCCTCAACTCAATATTCTGTATCAGCTAGAAATACGTCAACATAAGGAAATGAAAGCAACTTCTGGTTTTTATTATTAACAAATAATATTATTATATTTGTTACACCACCTGCTAAATTTACTAATGTACATAGATTTTATACAACTCTTTATACAAATCTATAACATGAGACTATTTGTTTTCAATATTAGCAAAATGATCATATCACCACCAGCATGGCGTGTCAATCATGACGTGTTTGTACAACAAAATACAGATGGTATAACACCGATAATAATCATACGACCCATGAATATTTACAAAAATTGAGCTTTAGTAAAGAGATCACTTATTAGCAATTCTTTTCAAAATTTAAATCAGACACAAATATAATCTGCATCTATTACTCACTCTTGCGAATGTACACATAGGGAAACCGAAAGTATTAGTAACAGTAAAAAGTAATATTTTGTTGTGCAAAATCTCATTATATTTTTGACTTCAGTTGTGGGCGTAATGGAGAAAGGGGGGGGGGTCGTGAATGCCCTGCAGTTCAGTGGTTTGAGAGCTATGATATAACAGCTACACAGAGCATCTTGAAATGAGCTGTTTATATTAGGGTTGTTTTAATGACTTTTAATGACCACTTTTCTTTTTCTAAAAGGTCCAACTCAGGGGATATATCCTCAAATCAACAGTAAGTTGTTTTTAACATCTCAAACAGTAGAAAAGCAACATTATCTCAGATATAACAGAAATAATATATATTTGTTATCTTTGTCTAAAAGGTCCAAACCCTGGGATGTATCCTCAAGTGAACAGTAAGTTTTCAAAAACACTTTACAATAAGGTTGTATTATTTAATGCATTTACTAACAAGAACACACAACGAACAATACATTACAGTAATTTTTCTGTTCATTTTCTGAATAAAATGAACAGTTCAAATATTCACGTATAGGTAAACTGAAAAAATCATTACTATATCACCGTTTTAACTTATTTTAAAAACAATAATTATCTTGGAACGCCCAATAACACCCTTTAAAAATGTTTTTCTATAGGTCCAAACCCGTATCCTCAAGCTACCAGTAAGTTTTTTTTCAACTGTTATGTTCTACAATTATTTAAGAGCATAGTCTTTTAACTAAATACTCCGTTAATATCTTATCAATATGGACCATTTCTTCATCAATACAACATAAAATGCAATGCATATACTTTAAAATACAGGTCATGTGAAATCATTTGAAAATATATGTGAAAAATATATGAATGTCAAATTCCTTAATTTTAACCTGTGGAGAGTATCCACTAACGTCTTTTTAAATGTTGTTCTAAAGGTACAAACCCTGGGACGTATCCTCAAACTACCAGTAAGTTACCAATTCAAGCATTAACATCAGATATTCCACTGCTAAAAACCTGATGATGTTCAAAAAGTGCAATAAGGGCAAATAGGATGACCATTCTTTTACTGAACTCATTCTATCATCTCCAAGCAACCACACCGATGACGTGCTAAACAATAGGCCCTTTTCACAAGACTGTAATGATGCTTTTAACGGTCATCAGCATCTTAAATCCAAAAGTTTTTAAATTTTGATTGAAAAAAAAAAACATTTATATGCATTTATGTATGTATTAGATCATCTTTTTATCAAATTACAAAAAACTAAACAAGTGCTTAAGTGAGGTGTTTCTAATACAACGTCTATGGGGACAGGACAGTAAATTAGACGTTGTTCACTCTTCCGGCTGGAGTTATTGGTCTCACACTATTATTTTTTTTAACACCATCATGGAGTTTTTCTTCTCTTATTTCAGACAATAGGATTGTCAAAATGATTTGTTGTACTCTCCCATTCACTGCACTCTAAGTTTACCCAACTATGACTACTTTTATGGCTGAAAAACCCATAAATGTGGAAAGGGTCCATGCTAGTAGTTCGGCATGTGTTAAATAATAAGCAGAGAGCTTGATTTGTGTGTTTCTGTGCATTATAGCTGTCACGACTACAGTGAGGATGCCCAACCTGAGTGATTTACCTGCTCAAACCATGTGTCCCCACTGTAAGCTCCAGGTCATCACTATAACAGAGCACTTCTCTGGACTATCAGCCTGGGTGGCCTGCGGATGTCTCGCCCTCATTGGGTAAAACTTAACATTTATAATGCTTAAAGAAATTAATAGAACTTAATAGAACAATACTTTAATAAAAAATAATGTTTTAAATAGTGCCTCAAGAACGAGAAACACCACAAAATCTGGCTTGCCATTTTTTTTTTAATTGCCACAATTCACTTTGATTTTGTGCAGTATTTGATGAGTCATGTGAAGTTACTGAAGTTTACATTTCTGACAGCACTTCTCACACTGTAAACAATATCTGTTATTTAACAGTTTCAGTATTTTGAGATTCACAAGTGATCTCTTTTTTTTTTTAACGGTTGTGAAATCGCATTATTGGATGTTGATCTCTGCTCTGCCCAGTTTTAATGATGAAAACTCAACTCTACAGTTTAACAACGTGATGTTTATTGACATTTTAGTAGTTTGAAATAGTGTTATATATGGTGAAATAAGTCTGTTAAATAACAGAAAATGTAATGGCAGTTTATTGCAAGGTTTATATACCGTAATATACAACACCAACACAGACAATGTCAGACTTGACTGATTGTAATGTCTATTTTGCAGGTGTTGGCCGTGTTGTCTAATGCCCTTCTGGATGGACTCTTGTAAAGATGTTGAGCATCGCTGCCCAAACTGCAACAATATTTTGTGCTACTACAAGCGCCTGTGATCTAGAAACAAACATGTCCTTCTTAGTCGAACACAGGGGTGTCCAAACTCATGGAGGGTCGGTGTCCTGCAGATTTTAGCTCCAACTTGCCTCAACACACCTGCAAGGATGTTTCTAGAAAGCCTGGTAAGAGCTTGATTAGCTAGCCCAAGTGTGTTTGATTGGGGTTGGAACTAAACTTTGCAGGACACCGGGCCTCCACGAGCTTGAACATGCCTGGTGTAATGGATCAGCTCAAAACATTTCACTTCACAATAATAACGATAGCATATATGATATTGAATGCACAGTCTGTGGTGGAGTTTAAACAAATACTGATCACTTACAGAACACAAAACAATGACAGAGCTAGCAAAATTTCACTGTAAAACATTCCTTGTAAATTTGTGGTAAGATACTGTCTTTCTGTTTCGCAGTTGCACTGTAATGTTGTCACAGTAAAGTACTGACAGCTTTAGTTACTGCCATTTACTGTAATTTAACACTATTTTTCCATTTAACAGCTCTACTGTAATGTCTCATTAATGTACTGACAGCTGTGGTTCCAGTTATTTACTGTAATTTACAGTTTTGCCAGTTTTTTTTCCATTTTACAGTTGCGCTGTAGTTTTACAGTAAAGTACTGACATTTAGTTACTGCCATTTACTGTAATTTAACTATTTTGCGACACTTTCCATTTAACAGTAGGCTTTAAATTCACTGCTAAATACTGTCAGCTGTAGTTCATGCCAGTTACTGTTTTTTCTTTTTATCAGTTTCACCACTGTTTTTCCATGTTACAGTCATGCTGTAAAGTCACAGAAAAGTACTGGCAGCTTTGATTCCGGCCATTTACCATAATTTTACAGTTATGCTGTTATTTTTACTGTAATTTTACTGTAATTTTCACCACCATTTTTTGTCCCATTTTACAATTATGCTGTAATGGCACAGTAAAGTACTAGCTGCTGCGGTTTCAGCCATTTACTGTAATTTAACAGTTTCACTACAGTTTTTATATTTAGTTGCACTGTAATTTGACCGAGCTGGCAGCTTTAGTACCTGCCATTTATTGTAATTTAAAAGTTTGGCCACCATTTTGCCATTTTACAGTTGCACTATAATTTCACAGTAAAGTACTGTAATTTATCATTTGCACCATAACTTTTCCATTTTCCAGTTTTGCTGTTATTAAAGTACTGGCAGCTGTGATTCCGGCCATTTACCATAATTTTACAGCTTCAATACTGTTTTACATTTGGTAATTTTACCGCAAAGACCACAGCTTCAATTGTGAAATACAATACAAATCCCTTACCATTTGTTCTACTGTCTGACATGCTAACAGATCGAGTACAAATTATTTACTCTGGAAAAAAAAGGAAAAAAAGAATGATATAGTTCATTTGCCATTATTAAAAAACACTGTTAAACATCTGCTAACAATCTTTTAACAGTATTTTAACAGTGTATGGCAAGTGTTCACAACTTCACTGTATAAAATATGAATATAAATATTGTACAAAACAGAATATTTAATAACTCTGCTTGTAATTGTGGATCTCAGTAATGTCTGAGATATTGTAGTATTTTAAAGTTAGTTTAATGCATATATGAATTCATGTTAATATATGAAACATTTATTCATTTATTCACACACCCACACACACATACACACACACACACATACACACACACACACACACATACACACACACACACACACATACACACACACACACACACACACTCAAACACTACGGACAATTTAGCCTACCCAATTCACCTGTACATGTCTTTGGGGGAAACCGGAGCGCCCGGAGGAAACCCATGCGAATGCAGAAAGAACATGCAAACTCCACACAGAAACACCAACTGAGTCGATGTTCGAACCAGCGACCTTCCTGCTGTGAGGTGACAGCACTACCCACTGCACCACTGCGTCGCCCCATATATGAAACATTTTATGGCAAATAATTAAACAAACATATCATTTAGAAGTGTATACAGTTATATGACATTGCTATCAATCCCTACTCTACTACAATCCTCACCTTTCACAATTAGCCTCCATTAAATGTGGTTTCAGGGTTAACAACTGTTATTATTATTAAATAAAGCAAAATGAGCTTATCATTGACTAAATGAGTTCTTTCTGGACTTAACCTGTGGACCTTAGTAAAGCGCACTATTTTTAATTAACAGCAATTATGTTGATTGTGACCTTCAGTTGTTCGATCTTGGTAATTATTATTTCTCCCCTGAGAGTTTAAATTGTAGCCTGACTGAATCATTTGATCATATACTGCAGTTATTATGCAATTCCCATTCATTATAAAAGTGTTTTTTTTTTTTTAATGTTTAGATTTTTTAATCTCTTTAATAATTATTACGTTTTCAGGGTCTTTGACGTTTACTGTGAGAATATGTAATATCAACTTAATTTTTTTTTATCATTTACTTTGTAACTCTTATATGGAGTGTCGATACCACTAAAATATGCTCTGACAGCTTTTTCAGAATAAAGTACAGCTTTAAGGCATCATCAAATGTATGTATATATATATATATATATATATATATATATATAAAAAGATTTTCCATTACACACAAAATCTGTTATTGCTATGCTTGTAGAAACATTTGGACCACTCAACGAAAGAAGTACAAGGTACACATGTACACACACGCAATCTGCAAAACAACCAGCAGAGAGCGCAGTAAACTACTTTATAAATCAAGTCACTCCACTAACTACACCAATAATACAAAAACCACATACTGACTTTAAACTTAAACTGAAAAAATCAAATCTAGATAAAAAAATTAAAGCCAATTCAAAATATTAGTATATACAATTTCAAAAACAACAAAAATATATATTACATTGTTTATGTACATGGAACTCTTGCAAAGCAAAGCCTGTTGTGTTTTACTCAAGATTTTCTTTGTTGTTGTTCAAACTGAACATCTGCCAGAAAGTCTCTTAATTATTTCATGGGGAAAAAGATTTAACACTATTTTATAAACCTTTAAAGACAGACCTGCTCCAAGTTTATCAGTGGTGTACAGCAACAA